CCCCATATTGAACACATTGAATCACGTTCCTTAGATGCTTGAACAGACACATCCTCAGTGGGACAGGAAAAAATTATGCATCCCCTCCGTGGTACCACCTATGCATACCCTGTCTGCTTTGGCTGTGTGTTAGACCCCAAAGGCACAATCTGCAGTATCAAAGTCCTAGAGTTGACTTTGCTTGGCTGTTGTATCCCTCCCACCAAAAATACCTGGCAGAGTCCTGATGGAAAGTGTGCTGCTGCTGCTCTTCAACCACTGTCATCTCTGCTGTACCCTGAGGCTGTGTTGCATCTTGGCAGTGGTCAGCCTTCCAGAAAACTATCTGAGTTTGCACTGCTCCCCAGTATGTTTGCATTTTGCTCAACAGCTGGGGATTTTTCTTTCAGCCTGGAAAGCAGTGGAAACTATGTTTTACAGCAGCTGAGAACTGCTAAAATAATCCTTTTTCTGTGCATTACTTGAAAGTAAAGATATAGGGTCCAAGTACTTCAAGGAGAGGCTACTACACCTGGGGATAAGTTGTCAGGGTACCGAACTTCAGCCTTACAAGTGCTGCAGGGTAGCATGAAAGAGTCACAGACTAATTCTAGATGGTTTTGTTGTGAAGTTCTGCCTCCAGACAACTAGAACTGATGAGTTTGCTGTCAAGAACAGGATTTTGTGAATATATATAAATAATAACTGTGCTTTTAAAACAGTCAAAGAAAGCAAAGATTGAGTGAATAGCATGTGTTATATTCGTAACATCCATGAAAAAATAAATTGAGTGCTTTAAGGCCCACGGCCCTTTAATGCCATTTATATTTGTTGTTTCCTGTCTCCCAGGCTATGAAAGGTTGGCCACTCCAAAGCAGGCTAAACAGTCTTCACAGAGCACGTAATTGCCAAATCAACCGTTCTGTGTTTTACATACCCTTCTTGTGAGTTATTAAACTTTCCTGCATAAAGGAGCCTAAGAAGAGTCTTTGAAGATAATGCCCCACGTGTTTAGCAGTGGCCACTGCTTGCCAACTCTCTAATGACACTGCCCTGGGAGGAACCCATTGCTAAAGAGCTTCCATTTCCTGATGCACCAAAACAGCACAACACTATGAAATCCACTTTTGTGTTTCCTAATCATGGGTAGTAGGTGCCACATGCTGCCAGGGGCCATGGAGCCTGCCCTGCCCACCCCTATCTAAGGGCCAAAATGCAGAACCAAAATCCAGAACCTCCAAACAGTTCTCCAAGAGAAAATGCAGAGCTCATGTCATCAACACCAGCGGGGCAGTCCTCCTTCCAAGTTTTTATTTCAAAATGTCATGCCCTTCTGAAACACACCCCCTAGGTGGCTGCATGACATCACCTATGAAGGACATATTACCATAAGAAATTCTGGGGCCTGTGCTATCAAAGCTAAATATTCAGAGTAGCTCATTAAAATGGCCACTTTCTACTGTTTTTTTTTCTCTCTCAGCTGTCTTAAACAATCCAAAGAATCACATATTCTCAATGTTTTTCACAGGGGCTGTTTTCTAAACCTTCAGGAGTTTCTCTTGCTCACCTCTTGTTCTCCATCTAATTTGTCTGTATTTTCTGTTCCAGATCCCACAGCATCCTTGCTCACATGCTCCAGAATTACATTTGCAGCCTTTCCAGTAGCAGAACAATCTTTATACAGAAAGGGAGAATAGGCTAGCAGTCTATCTTCACACTCGATTTGGTTTATGGAGGGCAGAGAGGAAGGACAATGCCTCCCCGTGCTTCCTATTCTGACTATAAGTGGCTGACTGCTGTTTGGCTTGTGATCCTATGTAACACCCAGATCCCTTCTTTAGCATTGCTGCTGCATAAGCACTTGCACCTTATTTGTAATGCTGCATTTGATTTTGCCTCTCTGGGCAGAGTCATGAAATTAATTAGATGAAGTTTAATAGTGATGCTTCCTGAATTGATTTAATTTGAAATTCACCATGGTAATGCCCATCCCTCTTAGACTGCTTAGGCCTTGCATTTCTCCACTCCTTCATGTTAATGTCCATGAGCCCCTGTAAAATATTTATCAAAATATTTACAGTTTTAATCCATGTTCTGAGCCCCTCATAGGTAAAATCGTATCAAAACCAGAAGTTTGGAAAAAACAGTACATGAAATACTTCAGCCACCTGTTTTCCTTTACAGCCTGGCCAAAGGAAGAAGGTCAAGTGTTGGTTTGGTACATAAGAAGTATTTCATTGTAGGATAAGAAAAAATTTTCTAATTTGATTGAAAGACTTTAAGTTTGGGGATTTTAAACCTGGGAAACTCAGCCACATATAAGTGGATGAGCTAGCAACAAAGGTATTCTGTTGTGTCTATGATTCACTAGTCTTCCTCATTAAAAAACAACTCTACATTTCTTTGTCTACTTCAGATGTGTTCCTAGAATCTTTTATATCATCTGTAAACTGTGACTCAACTTCTTAAGTTTTCCTTCCCTCTGACTCTTTCCCTACTGATATACGTAAAGGCTAGGGACTACTACCTGTCTTTATAAGAACACAGACAAGAAGACTCCCTGAAATCTCACAGGAAAAAAAAAATAAAATAAAATAACTATACCTGAATGAAGGATTTCTAGTGCTGCAGTACCTACCACTGCCATAAGTAAGCAATTCCAAGGATGCCTACATTACTGCAGATAAATAAATATTGTCTTGATGTCAGTGTCCCACAATCCAATAGTAGCATCAGGAAGAGAGCCCAGCCATCTCATGACCCCAGTGACTACCTATCTGTTCAATACCACCACCTTTGACAATCTAGTCCTTTCCACTGTGCTTCTTTGGCTGTATATCTATGCTTGAAACTGAACACAACTTACCAAACAGTATTGATTGAAACATTATGTTATCATATTACTTTCAATAGCTCTGTACTCCAACCCAAAATAGCATTTGCCTTTGATCTTCTGTACCAGATGTTTTCACTGAGCTATCCACAATGACATCTGATTTCCTGAGTGACTACAAATCATTTCCAACTCCAATTACTCTTCCCAAATGCATATACAGCATTTAATACACTACTGTATCATTGTGTTGGTTGGCTTAGTTTGGTCCCTCCAATAACTGAGTCTCACAGTATTCTTATTTACCTAGATAAAATGTTATCAGCTTTATATCTGGCCATCATTATTCCATGCTCCACCCGCTTAAGAAGAAACAGTTTTTAACTGTTTAACTGAGTTTTTAAACATCAGTCAGGACAGATCCCTGTGTTATCAGATCAGCTTCTCCTGCTTTTGACCAGTTATAGGATCAGGCCTGACCTTTATCCACTTGTTCACTGTGTAGTTAATTGTAGGGACTCTTGTTCAAACCCTTTTTAAAGGAAAGGATATGCACTATCACTGCATCACCTTGTCTAAGAAGAAAGGTGACACGGCACAAGTAGAATAGTGTAGAAACTTCCCATTTCTTCTTGGGTATCAAATTCCTGTTCATCTTCCCCAGAGTATAAAAGAATGAGGTAGTTGAGAGGATAAAATGGGGAAGGATTAAGTAAGCTAATGGAGGACTGGCCAGGGAAGTGGTGGAGTCCCCACCACTGAAGGTATAGAAGAGAGGTGTGGTACCCCCTGAAGGTATAGAAGAGAGGTGTGGACATGGCACTAAGGGACATGGTTTAGTGTCCCTGACTCAGTAGGTCAGGTTGACAGGTGGGTTTGATGATCTTGAAGGTCCTTTCTGACCTAGATGTTTCTATGATTCTAAGTTGTCTTACATAACTATTTGGAGCAAATAAGCACCTAAAAACATTTTGCATAATCTGAAGCAAAAGATCACATCAAATGAAAAGCGTGGTCCATCAGTACTAGTCATTCACAGGAGGCTGCCTCAACTCAGAGAGAATTTCTCACATAGGATCCACCAGAAAGCTTCCCAGTAGTTTTAGTATCACAGTGATCTCATCCAATAATTAAAGGATTTGGGCACTTAAAAGTATGATCTAGACACTCCGGTCAAAAAAAAAAAAAATCTTCAAATCTCTGTTGAGCTTCCACCTATGCTGCACCGCACAAAGTGAGTGGGTGTGAGAGCTGGGCAGGGAACCGCCCCTGTGCAGGCTGCTCAGTGCAAAGCCATGGGGACAGCCTAGCTGGCATGGGTGAGAGGTCCGTGTGGGGTGGTAATGAGCAGCAGATGGCAGAGAAGCGCAGAGGCATGAAGCCATGCTGGAAGCTACAGCCTCCGGTTCCACAAACCATATCATCTTTTATCAAGTCTCACTGCTCAGAGTGAACTGCTAGGATAAAGCACATCACATCAGCCTGGGTTCCCACAGGAATGAAAATCATGCAATTTCTCTTTGTCTCTCTGTCTGTCAGATCTTCCTGCTGTTTTCTGCACCAGTTTTTAGCCCATTTCAGCACAATCTGACAGAACATAGCAGCCTTCAAGAAGTTAACATTTCTAAGAGTTGTATGAAATTGAGTATCTAGGGAGAGAATAAGGATGTAAATCAGGGCCTTTACCAGGGGAAAGGCTGCAGATTGATCCTGCTTCCTCTGGTCTGTTTGGCCATTTGGCTGTGCCTCCAGACAGACACAAAATGCATTACCTCTTGCCCAGCCAGCAGCTAGGGAAAAGGGCAGGGTTCTATACATAGGTTCAAGGAACATGGTGGGAAAATGGAAATATTGCCAAGAGCTACAAGGGACATTATTTCTGTAGATATCATGGAGCACCCTGGCTCAGTTAGCACAGAAGCAGCTGCTCCCAGCTCCCCTGGGCTTCCACAACCAGCAGGAATTAGGAGCATCTGAGGCAAAATACTTCCAATCAGACAAAAGCTCCAGCTGAGCCCTAACCCAGCCTCAATAACTTTTCCCAGTGTGAGTCCTGCCTTTTCTACCCATTCCCCAGCCATGACTAACAGCAGATTCCATCTGAGCCAGCTCCAGGCTTCTTAGCCTCAAGGCCAGAAATGGGTTTTGCCATGCTGTGTTCAGGGGGTTGAGAAGAGGATGGTCCTACCTGGGGAGGAAGAGGAAGGGATGGTGCAGGGCAGAGACACAGCTCAGCATCTACCTCTGCACATCCTCAAGTGCAAGAAAGCAGCAAACCTGGCTTTCCAGGGCACTAGCTTGGTCCATGCAAGTCAAAAGTCCAGGGCTGTTTTACCATCCCGCGGGGCTGCTGTCCTCAGCTGGTGCCAGCCCCAGCCAGGTGCAGAGCCAGGTCTAGGTTCCTCCCAGAAGACAGCAGCTTCCTTTCTACCCAAATCAACTCAGAAGTCCTTAAGCCTGAAATTGTTCCACTTTACAAAGAGGCATCACTGAGACCAGAGGTGTGTTAGAATGAACTCTGCAGCTTCTCAACACTTAGCAAGGCAGGGGGAAGGCCTAGCTCCTGTACCACCTCCAAGAACTAGCTCTGCATTTTATCCATACAGTTGGGAGTGCTGGAGAAAAAAAATCTGTTGGCGATGTTTGAAACCAGTCTGTCTGATGCAAAACATTGTGCAAACAAAAGTAGAAATAAATTAATTTTATGCAGTCTTGATTTCTCCCAGTACAGTAAATGCAGTCAGCCAGCCAGCATCATCTGAAAAGCCTCAGACATTTTGAAGAGTTTTCCTTGCCCTCTTCAGGACAGCAGAAATAGGACAAATGGCATTAAAAATAAATAAATAAATAAATGGATAGAAAAGGAATTTTCCACATCTGCTTAAGGAAAACACTAGATAGCACTCAACATCACATTTGTGGGAGAATGAATACAGCCAAAAGTTTGATATGTGTTTTTGCAACACAGAATGACATTGGGGAAGAAGAGGGGAGGCATTTGCAGCCACTAAAATGCTGTGTTTCTAGTGTGGAGAAATACTCCATTATCTGAGAAATTGAATCATTATGCCTCAATGGTAGTGTTAGGACATATTTTTAATCGGGAGCTTGTGTTGATAACAACCAAAAGTGCATCATCTTTTCCAGGAAGCCAGCCTAATGCAGAGATCCATTTGATCTTTTGATTTCTCTATCAACTTTGTGCCGCATGCCAAAAGAACAAGTCATGCCTTCATGTCACCGCTAGAAATGAGCTTAGCCAGAGTTCCTCTCCAGACAGAAAACATACCCAGAGTCTGAAGGGTTTTGAAATCACTAAATCATAAGTCGGGAAACAGCGTCCAACAGCAGAGTTAGGAAGAATTTGGGAGGACGGGAATAAAAGTGCAAGGGGGAAGAGTGAGAAATAGCGTAACTTAGAGCAGGAGATCAAGGGAAGCACTTTAAATATAGCCTGGTTGTTATTCTTCTTTAAGTAATCAAAGCCTACTGAATATGTCAAGAAGAATTTGTGCCAATATGCTGAGGACATCAAGAATGAGTGTGTTACTCCCAGTGCATGCAGGGGAAAGACTTGGGGACTGGTCCGTCAGCCCTCCTGAGTAATGCTGCTGCTGAGAAAGGCCCTGCAGGACTCCCTGCCAGCTGCAGGAGCAGAGCCAGTTCGGTCTCCCTGTTTCAGCTTCAATTTTTGTCTTTAATCCAGGTGAAGCAATTTATTTTATTTTTTGTTGTTTTGGTTTTGTTTTGTTTGTTTGTTTGTTTGTTTGTTTGTTTTTACTCTGAAGTATCTAGCTCATAGTGAATAACCCTGAAAAATTGTGGACAGTTTCCCCAGCTGTAAGAAATCTCATAGTGTTGCAATAGCAGCATCCTCCAGAAGCCTGCTTGGCACGTCAAACACCAAAGGCCAAAGCAGACCGCAGCGACCTGTGACAGGGGAAAACCACACAGGTGCTACACATAACGCACATGGCTTGGACAAGATGTGTAACACCCCTCCTTCCCCCAAAATACGTAATCCAAGGTTGCGCTCTGCTGATTGTCACGAAGCCAGGCAAGGAGGGGTCCCCATTTTCCTCTGTTGCCACGCTTGTGCCACGGATTTGCCACTAGAGGACACTGAATCAACACGAGACCTTGCTGGAGGGCTGGAGCAGGAGTGCCGCGGGGGGCTGGGGGGCACTCCATGTGCCCACACCCATATTTTCCCCCACTTACCAAAACCCTGGGTAAGCTGGAAACTGGTTTGTGGGGTACCGAGCTACTTGTGGTGGCTGCCCCTCAAGGCCATGACTTTCTTAGATGTTTTCCATCCCTTTGGGATTCTTTCATTTTAAATTTGGGGTGCACTTCTTATAGTGCAGGGGATGAGAACTGGGAAATCAGTGTTATTTTGCATTGTGCAAAGCTTGATGTGTTTGTTTATGATGGGCTCCTTACTAGGGAGCCCATTCAAAAGAAATTGTGAAAGAAACCAAACAGGAAAGGGTAGAACAATGACCTCGATAAGAAGCATCACAGGCAGGGCTCAAACACAATAGTTAGATTTACAGCCTGGGAGATGTGACGGCTCTGCCCCAGCCCCAGTGAAACTCTTGTTTTCCTAAGGCTGTGGATCCGGAGATCAAAGGGTCAAGATCAAGCCTGCAGGAGGAGCAGGGACAGAGGGCTGCAAAAGCTCTTTGAGGCTCACCCAGACTGACAGAGTCATGAAGTCTGCCCCGGGTAGGCTGCGGCTTGGTCTCCCAGAGAACACAGCCTCATCTCCTTGTGGGCATGAGAGCTGAGTACAGGACGGCAGCATGTAAGTACACTTCTGTTTTAAATCAGCGGCTTGGAAATCCAAGTGCTTTGGACACAAAAGTCATTCTTTGTTATGAAGCTCTTTAATGGTATACAGCAAGCCATAAGTATCCACAAGTGCCCCAGGAAGGGCAAGGTGTTGGACTGGGACAGGTATCACCCTCCATCAGTGAGGAGCTGGATCTAGGGAGCTCCTTGGGTTGGTAGCTGGCTGGAAGGGGCTACACACATGGCAGCAGCAGCACTAGGGTACTTCAGAGGCAGGGCTGGCTCCAGGTATGGGCAGAATAGGCACCAGACTACCTAAGGAGAGCAAAATGGACATGGTTCTCTTGTGGCTTGGCCTCTCTCAGGGTAGCCAGTGTACTTGCTGATGGCAAAAGAAGGTAAATGGGGAGCATCGACATTGCAGTGAGTCATAATCCTCCCGGCAGCAGGCACCCTTGCCTTTCCCTACTGCACTTGCAGTGTTGGCTTTCCCCCTTGCAATGCTGGCTTTCCAAAATCATAGAAACATAGAATATCCAAGTTGGAAGGGACCCACAAGGATCATTAAGTCCAAAGGCACCTGAGGAGGAGCCTGCTGAGACCCAGCATCAAAATCAAACACTGTGTGAGTGGCTCCAAGGCACAACTGCCACCTCCAGGAGAGGAGAACAGAGATGTTCTCCATCAGAAGCTTGACAAGGCCCTGTGCCAGTGGGGAGGGTTAGGGTATGTGTGTGCAGGGGCGCACCTCAGCACCACAGTGTGCAGCTGTGCTGGCGGTGGAGCCAGATGGAGGGAGGAATGTCCCCTTGGCACCTTTCACACCCCAGCAGGTCTGCGTCCAGAAAGCTGTGCTGAGTCTGTGGGAGGATTCATAGCACCATACCGGGCATAGAGTGCCTCAGAGCTGAGTTTGGAAATACAGGCTCCTTTATGACACCTCTGAGCCTCCTCCTTCTTTGAACAGATACATTAGGACAGAGCTGATTTCTGTTCTTCACCATTAAGCACAGAATAGCAGTCTTTGCACCAAACATTGCTGCTGGTAAACATCTCCAGCTACTAAAACCTGCAGCAGAGAAGAGAAGGGCGGGACTGTCCCCAGAGATCACACACACACAGCCTCTCCCAATGCACAGGAGGTACACTGAGAATAAGAAAATAGAAGAAAAACCTGTTTGGAGATTTTTTCAGATATATATATATATATATTTAAAATTGCTGCCAAACATTAACCTTTTTCAGTTACTTTATCTCCCACTGCACCAGACAGCACACTGTCACTGCAGAAGCTGATAGAGGCTCTCCTCCAAATTCCATTTCCCGACATGTAGGACAAGTTCAGAGGAGGAGAGTGGGTCCAATTCAGAGTAGGCTTACAAACCGCTGTCTTAGGAAGCACCTCAGGCAGGAGACTATAGGATATCTGAAGGGAGAGAGAAGAGGCTGGCTCCACCACTTACCCCCTAAGCCCTTGGCTTCTTTTATGAATGTTTCTGTTCACCATATTTGTTTCATATCTGCAACATCAAACCAACCCATTCAGATAATTCTGAATAGTTCTTGCATGTTCTGATCATTTAAACCTGATCTATAGGCACCAACAGCTAATATGCATTTGCAGAGCAACAATTATTTGATGATATTAAAAATATAAAATAAAATAAAAGTCCAGCTTGTTTTAATATCCAGTTGGAGTTCAAGACAAGCAACAGTGATTTATTTTTTCAAACACAGACGAAGAGGGAAAATTTAAGAAATGAGTTTCTGGAAAATTTGTCCATGTCAAAATCCCCACAGCCACCAAGAGGCAAGACTATGGCTCTAAATCACAGTGTGAGACAGGAGGGGCTGCACATCCTTGTCACACGTAGCCAAAACCAAGAGCCTGCAGGGAGCTTAGGCAAATCCCTTATTGATGTAACTCATACTTCTTTCACCTCTCCAGCCCCATCCCTCAGGATGATATCGAGACAGACTCCTGCTAGGTTATCCAAATTCTGAGTTACTCCCTGGGCATGGGTGCACCCCCGCCTCACCCATCCCTCACCTCTGCTCCCTGGCCCCGAGTCCAGGGGAGTTCAAGGTGGAGCCTCCCACATACCTCAGAGCCTCACTCCAGCAACCCTAACAACAACATTTAATGCTTGTTTAACTCCTGTGATTGCTCAAAAGAGCTATATTTAGGAGAAAAATCTAAAAAGTTGCCCCTTTGACTTGTGCTCTCAGGAAGTTCCTGGCTCCTGCAAGTCTCCCTGTACCAAAACTAACTGCTAGGCTCTTGTTATTGCAGCCCCTTTCAGCAACAGCAGTTGCCCAGTAAGCATTACATTTAGACTGCACAAACCTTCTGGAATTCACATTAACATATAAAGGAAGCTTTGCTCTATCAAAACACTTCTTAATTTTCTGCTGTTATTCGCAGAACCGAAATAGGGATAATGGGCAGCCAAAAATAAGTTTTTCAACTTCTAAAAGGTGACAGTTGCCTCAAATATATCAGATATCTTCCTAGAATCAAATGTGTACACATTTTTTAGTATTCATTTCTGGCTTAGCCTTAAAAAAAAAAAAAGAAAAGAAAAAAAAAAAAGAATTGAAATTAGGACACCTGCTGGTATTCACCCTCCACCTAATTTCAATTATTGTAAGAACACAACAGAAAAGCAAATATAGGCAGTTTCAAATAGCACTAGCATGTGTTATCACATTCCAATTCTTGTTTAAAAGTATGCTAGCTGGAATGGGCTATTTTCATGGGAAAAATAAATCTTAATGTCTTGTTCTGATTTCATTTTTG